AGTTTCTGGGTCTCCAGGGAGATCTGGTCTGTGCCGACACAGCGTCCCAGTCCTTTGGGAACCTGAGCTGGTGCTGGACAGGCTAGCTTTGCTTTAGTGCCTTCTTCGGCTGAATCCAGGTCCTCTGAACCCAGAAGGAGGAAAATGGAACACTTAGAATAATCATCCCCCCCCCCCCCCCCAATCACAAAGTTAGAAAGTAAGGAGCCGGCGTGAGGTCACAGGTGGCTGAGTGGGACTCATACTCGAGACCCTGACCTCGGAACAGAGCCACTGCTTCTTCTTGGGGACAGGTTGATGAACAGGCCGGCAGTGTTCGAAGGGGCCGGACACAGCTGGCCCACCCTCTCTCCCAGCTAAGGTGTGGAGCGAGGCCTCATTTCTAGAGGGCATCCCAGCCGACAGCCAGCGGCCAGGGCTGCCACCTGTCATAGAGGACTCTTCAGAAGCATCCACAAAGCGTTTCTCACATCTGCTTAACCCTGCTGAAGCCGCCCTGTGCGCTGCATAGCCTGGGTTTGGACTGGGTGGTTTGTGTTTTTTTTTTGGGGGGGAGTATATCCCTGTAAATACCTTTAAACAGGCTCACAGTGTTGACTTCCCCCTGCCTCCCCTTGGTTGAACATTCCCCAGCACAGGGGCGGGCGGAGGGAGGGGGACATGGCTTTTGGTTCTTTGACTTTCAGTGCTGTTGGCCAAGAACAGGCTCTACATACCTATGTGCCACGTGGCCTCTGCCCGGCGCATGGCGCTGAAGCTCGGCTTGGAGCCTTGCGGGGGAGGTGGTGGCTTCCAGGCTCCAGGCCCTGGAGTGGTGGAGGGGGGGATGCGAAGCAGAAAGGGAAAATGGACGGGAAAATCAGGAGGCGTTGATGAGAGAGGGGATAAAGGACTCCGTGAGGGCGGCCGACTTTACCCGCATCGTCCGAAGAGCGTCGTCTCTGCCAAGCCTGGCTGCTGTCCTCCTGGTCTGGGCCTGCGCCCTGAAAGGACAGCTGAGTCAGGCTGCGAGAAAAGTCTCCTCCACATGGAGACAGCAGCTGACAGAGCTTCTGCCCTAGAGGCTCCTGTCAGTCACAGGTTTTGAGTTCCTCGGTACTCAGACTTTGTTTCCAAAGAGCAGCACCACATCGCCTTGGGGGCATAAGAAGGAACAGTCTGCTGGTTTATGTTATGTGTTGTGGAAGAAAAACCGAGTCTTATAAAGTGCCTGTGATCTTAAAGATGAGCATGGTTAGGCCCAGACTAAATTGGAAAAGGTGAGCTGATCTACATAGAAATAGCATGGAAATATTAACTAGGTGCTCATGAATGAGGTACAAGCCAGTCACGAAGGCTGTAACACAAGCCGCAGAAGTTTGGGGAACGGAGTATTCCTAAAGCAAGTACTTTTATGACCCTTTCTTCTGTTTTACGAGCCCTAAAACAGTGGTTCCCAACCTTCCTAATGCAGCAACCCTTTATACAGTTCCTTGTATTGTGGTGACCCCCAACCATAAATTTATTTTTGTTGCTACTTCATAACTGTAATTTTGCTACTGTTATGAATCATAATGTAAAGATCTGATATGTGACCCCTGTGAAAGAAGGGTCATCTAACCCCGACCCACAGGTTGGGAAACACTGCTCTAATAGGTAAACTGAGTCCTGGATTCCACGTTAACAATGTGGAAAAAGACACCCTTTGTCCGCTGACCACCAGGGATAAGGGAAGTGGGGTGTTGGAAAGAACCCACAGGACACCACATTTGCCACCCTGGGCCCCCCTTACCTCTCGTTTTCCATCAAAGCTCCAACCTTTGGTTCTTCCCAAGCCAGGAAGGGCAACGCCGTGGACCCTTGGCTGCTGCGCGGTCCCAGGAGCTGGGGTCCCCTCCCCTGGCTCCAACCTCTCTGTGCCCTAGAACAAAGTCTCTTGTTAAAGGTATGAGAAGCTTTCTAGGCAGCAGGGGAGTCATGGGGAGGTCTGATGCCTCAGTGAGACCCCAGCTCTGGGGGAAGCCCTGCCTTGATTCTAGGGGAGAATTCTTCTAACATTTTCATTTTTGTACAGCATGTTCTGGATCATTCTCAAGAAAAGGGAATTTGAATTACCAGTGTTCACCAGAGCCCTGAGTTCTAGAATTCTCCCATGAAAGTTGGGTTAGGATCAGGGAGTGGGCCATGTGTAGGCCAGGAGAAAGGGAGAATGTGGCTCTTGTGCCCCACGTACCATCTTCCTGCATAAGGCAGATCCCCGGGCCCCTCCAAATCCAGGAAGAAGGCTGCTCTCCTCCTCTGGGCTCCAACAAGGAGATGAGTTATTGCCAAGGCTTGGGGGGTCTGGACTGGGAGGGCTCTCCTGAGTTGGGGGTGGGGGTGGGGGTGGAGGGAGGAGGAGTCCAGCCGTGGGGGACCCTGGTCCCCTGTCCCCCTTGAAGCTTCGGGGCCGGCGGAAGTGGAACAGGCCTCTCCGTCTCTTCTTCTGGAGTGGAGGCAGGGGTGGTTCCGAGAGGCCAGGCCGCACGGTTCTCAGAGTCCGGGGGTAGCTGGGCAGAGGTGGGGTGGGTTGGTGACAAGTGACAGATGCAGGGCTTAAGGTAGAGCTGGTGCCGGTCCGTTCTAAGTGTAACAAGTATCCCAGTTCCTCCCCCTCTAGTCCCTCCTCCAGTGTAGTCTGGGCACTCAGGCAGGGAAGGCTGTCCTTACTTTCTCTGTCATAAACCATCAGTGGCCTCTTGAACCCAAAGTGACTCTATTTCCCCAGGTCCCCTCCCCTAATTTTTTCTTTCGGCTTCCCCAATGACATCACATCTGTACAGTCCCAGGGGAATCTGCATAAGCGACAGAGACCACTCAGGGTCTCACACTGCAAAATGGCACTCCATCCGGGGCCTGTCACCCCTGACCTGTCCCTAACCCCAGACCCCAACCGGCAATCAGTGCTCGCTCCATACTTTTCAGCCATCCTGAGGGGATTCAGAGACCTGAGACCTAGAGGATGGGTGGGTCAGGGCAAGAATGCACAGAAGTTTTCCCAGAGAGACTGGCTAGGGGGGCACTGCTGTTGGAGAGACCCTCTCTGGGAACTGGAGGACAAAGGAACCCTCAGAGAGGCTGTGGCCTGCTGAGGGTGGGGAGTGTGCCTCCTACCTGGAGCTTTCATCCATGACCCTTCTGCTGAAGAAGTCCTCTAGCCCCTCGTCTAGACGGGTGGCTGACCCATTCTCCTGTCGAGGCCCGGGTACTGGCACCTGCCGGGAGCAAGGTCAGATGCAGGCAGCCCCACCTCTCAGACCTTCCCAGGACCTTCCCCTTTGGACTTGGCCCCATGAAAGTTTAGACTTCAGTTCAACAGGACATTTCCTAAGCTTCGAGGCTCTCCGCTTTACCCACCACCAAAATAAAAATGTCACGGCCACTAAAAATAAATCACAAGATAGATTTATCCCTCCTCCCCCTTTCCTGCCTTCCCTCCTTGTCTTTCTCCCCCCACCCCCCCCTTTTCAGATGGGAGGAATGTCTCACTATGTTGTCCAGGCTGGTTGTGAACTTCTGGGCTCAGGTGACCCTCCTGCCTCTGCCTCCTGAGTAGCTGTGACTATAGCTTTATGCCATCAAACACACACAAGACAGACTTCTTATCAGGTATTGCTGGCTCTCGCCCATCTAAGGCTTAGAGCCCTGGCTCTGGCCCTGCCATGGACAGTTGGTTCTTAGTTAGGCCTTTGGGACTTACATTGGGCCGACTAGGTCCCGGTGGGGTGGTCCTGGGAGGCCGAGGTCTCCCTTGTGTTTGGTGTCTTAGTTTATAGCCGTGAGTAGGTAGCTCGGATAGACCTTCCCAGGAGCCACTTGCTGTGGACTGGCTACCTCCAAGTCCCGAGAACCAGCCAGGAGGAATACCCAGGCTCCCCAGCTGGCTCTCCATGTCCTGAGGGCTCCCACCTGTGGATACAATAGTGTTACAAGGACCAACAGGGGAGTCAGGGTGGAGAGGCAGAGAAAACGCGGGGGAGGAGGCCTGGTGAAGGGGAGGATGTGAAGGACATCAGGGCAGTCAGCTTTCTAACACTGCGACCCTTTAATACAGTCCCTCATGTTGTGGTGACCCCCCCAACCATAAAATGATTTTCGTTGCTACTTCATGACTGTAATGTTGTTACTGTTGTGAATCATAATGTAAAGATCCGTGTTTTCAGATGGTCTTAGGTGACCCCTTGAAAGGGTCATTTGACGCCCCCCCCGGGGGTTGTGACCCACAGGTTGAGAACCACGGCGTCAGACTGAAGCTGTAGACTCACTGATGAAGGCAGACACTGGCCGGATCTTCCGGCAGCGTTTCTGCTTTTTGATGGCCATGGTGTCCTGCAGAAATGGAGACAAAGAGTGGGCCAAAGCCTCGTCTGGACTCTCTCCGCCCTTCCCTCAAAGCCTTTGCTTTGGAGTCCAGCCTGTCTGCCTCGGGTGGCTGGGGATCTGGAACGAGGGAGGAGGAGAGGCTGGGCCTAGAGAGGTGGAGTTCGGAGACGTGAGGGGCGACACTGAGCAGGTCCAAGGAGAGGATTCAGGGAAAAGGGCAGTGGGTGTGTGTGGTGGGGGCTCACGATGTTGGTCCCAAGTTCATCGTCTGTTTCCTCATGGTCGTGATTCCTGCCTCTGCCCCGAGAAGACGGATCTTGCCCTTGGCTCGCTCCTCCGGGTGGATCTGACAGTGTCCTCAGCTGGGTCAGGTGCCGGGCCTGAGGAAGGACAAGCATGACAGGACCCTGAGGAAGCTGCTCACTCCCCTGATCCCCGGACAGACAGGATGGTGCAGGGCAGAGGGCAGGCCTGAGTCCGCCTGGGCTCAGAATGTTTACCAGGCTCTTGTGGGAGTGGTACAGCTCCTGCAGGATCTCGTCCACGATGGAGTTGGTCAAGTAGGTGACAACAGAGAGCTTCACCTCACTGTAGGTAGAAGTGGGGCTCTTCAGCCACTTAAGGCCTGACCTCTGGGCCTCCACCCCTTCTCTCCCCAGATGCCTGAGAATGGGCCAGCTGGGCTGGCTGCCTACAGACAGCATCGTTGCTGCTGGCTGCACCTTGGGTCCAGTACAGCCATATCTACAGTCACAGGTGCCGGACCCAGACAGAGATCATTTCAGCCTAGGTGTGCGGACAACGGAACTGTAGGAGGAGCCGGAACAAGGAGGCTCCAGGTCGGGAGCTCCAGGGATTCGGAGCTAGGTAAACTGGGTGCTGGTAAGCCTTGAGCTGACTGTTTCACAATATACATAGTAACTAACTCTCCCATGCTTTAGTTAGAGGTGGTGCCCACACTCAAGTGAGTGGTGGCACTTATACCCAAGTGAGTGGTAGCACCTATACCCAAGTGAGTGGTGGCACTTATACCCAAGTGAGTGGTGGCACTTATACTCAAGTGAATGGTAGCACTTATACCCAAGTGAACGGTAGCACTTATACCCAAGTGAATGGTAGCACTTATACCCAAGTGAATGGTGGCACCTATACCCAAGTGAATGGTAGCACTTATACCCAAATGAAACGAAGGGGGTGATGGCATGGAGGAAAAAGGAAGCATATTCATACTCCTGTTGTACATACTTTTCTTTGTCCATGTCTCTGAGGAGGCTGTGTTTTGCTTTCAGAAGGCAACTCCCGGTATATGTGTAGGTCAGGGGAGTACAGACCTATCTATGGAACACCCTGACCCTTGTGCCCCATCTCAGCACCCAGGTTTCTGGGGCAAACACCGGTCAGATCCTAAATAGCATGGCTGCCATGGTTAAAGATTTATCCCTTGTAATGGAAGGTTATCCATTCATTATTCATCGCCGAGAGCGCCAAACTCCCTAAGTGCTCTGGGCCAAATCTCATCCCATTGCCATCCTCCGCCTCTCACTCCAGCTTGTTCTGGATGTCCTGTCCGGCCTGCTCCAGGAGCGCTCCGCGGATGAAGTTCCGGGGCACAGTGACCCGCTCTGCCACGTTGCTCAGCATCTTGTTGTGTCCTTCTGCCACGCGCATGGCCACAGGGCACAACTCCTGCGTGAGGCTGACCATGGACTCCAGAATCACCTGATGAGGAAGAAGGAAAGCCAGAGGTCCAGGCAGGGACAGATCAGGGCTAGTGCCGCAGTGGAAGTCTTTAGGCCATCTCTATAGTTCCCCATGGTGAGACGGAGGGACCTAACTAAGGTCACACAGCCATTAGTGTCCGAGCCTTGGATACTCAGGGTTCTCCGCCTTGGCCAGTGCCCTTCCAGCCTGCCATACTGACAGGGGAGAGTCAACCCAAAGACCGGAATTTGAGAAAGGAAGGGGCTGGAGGTCAGGATCCAACACTTCAGCTAACAGAAAAAACAATTCTAAGGCTATCTTGTTGCAGGCACAGGGGAATATAGGGAAATTCGACTCCATTCCTTCATGCCCTCTGGCCTCCTTGCTGACTTCAACTTTAGTCAACACTGGGCTCCCCCGACCCATGGTCTCCTTCCTCTCTCAGAACTTGCCTGAAGCTCCTTGTCCACAGCTTTGGATACCTCGCTGGCTACCGACTCGAGTCTCTGCCGCACGGGCCCATCATTGGCCAGCACGTGGCCCAGCTCATAGAGGCTGGGGAAGAGCTGGAGAGGAAGAGGTCAGAATCAGGCCCCAGGCGGGCCCCAGGCTGGGAGGACAGATGCATGGAGCAGTGCTTAGATGCTCCCGGTCTAGAACTGGGTGGCCTTCTTGGCTTTCCAGACTGACGGGAAGGGTGGGGCTGTGGAGGGCTCACCGCCCGGGAGTTCTTGGCATCCTTGATGAGGTCCCGGGCATAGAGCAGCTCATCTTGCACAGGTTCCAGGGGACACAGTCTCAGGGCTCGTACCTCCTCCTGCACTCGTCCACACAGCCGCTGCAGCATCTGGAGCACAGTGTCGGGAGCGGCAGGCAGGGGGTCTCAGGTCAGACCCTGTGGGCCATGCTGCCAGCACTTACAGAGGTGGTGGCGATATCTCTGCATGGCTTCTCTCCTCGGAACGCCCTTCCCGAATACCTAGTTGAGCCCCTGGAGTCCTCGGTACCCATGGGCTGGGGCTACCCTGGCTGCTATTTATTTGCCTGGTGCATATTTGGGGGGGGGGGTCCCATAATTTAGAGTGCCTTTTTGCTCAGTCCAGTTTGGGGCACCACGGGATGCCCATCCGTGTGCTTCAGCACATGGCACCTGTACCCTGCATGCCCCGTGTTCCTGGGAGGGAAATGTTTACTTGCTCGGCGCTGCTGGTCACCAGGCCCTGCTGCAGCCTGAAGGCTTGCTCCTGGGGGCATGTCTGGGAGTGGTTGTTTCTCACCAGGCACCACTGGATCTAGAGGTGGTGGAGTGGGAAGGGTCAGTGTTGAGGCGGTGGGCTGCCTCTGCCCCCCCTGCCCCCCCCCCCCCGCTGTCTTTGCCCTGCTTTAAAACACTGCCCTTCACCTTCTGCCACACATCCTCTGTGCGCTCAGGGGCACTGCGGTAGGCTTGAGAGATGTCACTCACAGGGAAGGACATGAAGCGCAGTGTGTGGTTGCTGGGAAACAGGAGTATAGTTAGGTGAGGGGAGAGGTAAAGTGGAGAGCCCCCCCCCCCCCAGCCCAGCCTCCTCTTGCTCATCATTTCCCTATCCCATAGGTCTGGGAACTGGGATGTACCTAGGGTAGTTTAATTCTCGTCCTGGCCCAGGGAGGCTGGGCCGGCCTGCATCGGGACAGAGCCCTGGTCCACTCACCTCTCCAGGGCCCTTGCAATGTCCAGGAAGCCCAGAGCAGATGTATTGTTCCGGTCCCATAGGATAGTTCTGGGGGAGGGTGGACATCAGTCGTGACCACTCCCCTGGGTCCTCAGTAAAGGCCAGAGGTGTAGCCTCCTTCTTGGAGCCCCCTTTTCCCCTGCTAATGGGGCTGACTCGGACTCAGTTCCGGAAGCGGAGGACACGAAGGCCAAAAGGGGGAAATGTGTGCATGTGTCAGCAGGCTGGGGGTCTAGGTGAAAGGGTGGAGACGCGGGCCTCACCTGAGGGAAGAGTTTATCTGCAGCGCCTTCGACAGCATCTTGGCTCCGATGTCTTCCATGCCGTTACCGCTCAGGTCCACCTTGGCCAGGCAGGTGTTGCTGCCCAGGGCATTAATGAGGATGCTGGTGCGAAGCTTCAACCTGGAGTCTGCCACGGATAATGACTGCAGGGACTGGTGGGCAAACGGAGGTTGGGGGTCAGTCTTCACTACCACCCACCTGAAGCTCCCTCCTCGGCCTGGTCACTCACACAATCCTCTTCCTGGATCAACTGCACCAGCTTATGAAGGATTTCTTCCAGAGTCCTGTAGGGAGTTGGGGTCAGAGTAGGAGGGGAGGGGGCCAGGGACATGCTAGTAGAGGAGACTGGTGGCCAGAGGTAATACAGGAAGCCACGAGGAGTGATGGATGATGGGAGCAGGGTCTGTGGACACAGGCTGGGGCTCACTTGGCCTTGACATTGAAGTTCTTTCCTAGGAACAGGTGCTTGAGGGATTTATTCTTGCCAAGCGCAGGTACCAGTGTCAGGAGGTCTGAGTCAAACCCTGTTCAGCAGACGGGAGAGTCCCGGCCTTGAGGCCCAAGGCTAACAGAAGCCTCCTCAGGGCTTCATGCTCACGGAGCAGTCTTACTCACCATTGTCAGACAGATCTAGGCTGCCTATACAGGTGACAGCCCCCAGCTGCTCCTGCAAGGCCTGGGCTCCTGCTGAGCGGAGCTGCAGGGACAGGGAACGGGGGCGAAAGGCCAGAGAAGGTGGGTGGATGAGGTAGGGGATGAGCACGTTTAATCCTTAGATATCATACTAGTCACCCAAGGACTTAAAGTCATATCAGGTCTTGGGTATAAAATCAGGGAGACTCCTCTACTGTATCCATCCCTAGGGGCCCTCCTCCCTCAGCCAAAAGCCGCTGCTCTGAAGACAGCTTGCTCCTGCCCTCTGCTGGGCAAGCCTGGTATCTGCCACCCAAAGCTTAGAGGCAGAGATACTGGAGTCTGAACTCGGATGGCCGGTTTGAGAGGGGAAGGGGTGCGGTCAGGCCAGAGACCTGGTGTCCTCTCTCTGCTCCCCAGTGTGTGTGTGTGTGTGTGTGTGTGTGTGTGTGTGTGTGTGTGTGTGTGTGTGTGTGTGTGTGTGTGTGACACCGAGGATGATGGCTGGGAGATAGGAACGGAGCTCACCTCACAGCTGCTAAGGTCCAGGTGCAGATCGCTGAGGTGACTGTTGAGGGAGAGGCCCTGAAGAAGTGCCCTGTAGCAGGAAGGTCAGTAGGCCTACTTTACTCCTCCCCCACACCTCCACGGCTCCCCTGGGTATCCTCCAACTCTTCACCCACCCAACCTGAGGGCCTCCAGGGGCAGCCTTGTGGCTGACAGGTTGACATGGCTCAGGGTGTAGGCGCTGCTGAAGAATTGCTTGAAGGCTGGTGGGGCCTCCCGGCCCTTCCTGTGGAGACCTCAGGAGTCAGTATGGGAGGGCGATGGACGTCAATTACTGATTCCTCCCGGCCCCCTCTCCCGCACCTGTGGGAGCAGCTGTTTCGAGCCAGGTTGAGGTAGGTGAGGTGGGAGCAGCAGCCATGAAGTAGGGCGCCCAGAAGCTGTGGGGAGACAGAGTGGGCTTTAAAAGATCTGGGAAGAGCATGAGCCCCTTCCCACCCCTATCAAGTTCCTGACATTTCTCTCTGAGACTTCCACTGAGAATGCTCATTCAGCTTCTTCAAGGCCCAGTTTGCTCTTCCGTGGAAGGGAGGGCTACAGAGAGAGACTGACAGGCAGTCTTGGTGGAACAGGCCACTGCTGGCTTCCAGGAGCATTTTCTCAAGCTAGGGGAAATGTCTTTTTCCGCTAGTGGACAGAGCTCGGTGCCAGGAATGGAGTGAGGGTCTATTTTTAGGCAAAGCCGGCATGACCTTGTGACCTGAGTTAAGTGCACACAGCGCACGCTGTGGATGGACCTGAAGTCCTCCTTGGAGCTTTGTCTCTCTGGACTCAGGGAGGGAGAGATGGAAGGCTCCTCTGCCCCGTGTTTTCACACCCTCTCTCTGGCCCCTCCATTCCCCAGCCCCTTACCAGGTCAACCGCACAGTCAGTCCCTGACAGATCCAGGTGTACCAAGGCGTTGGGCTGGGCCAGGAAGCTATAGAGGGCCTGAGAAAGAAAGGGTAGACGAAGGGAAAGATGTGGTAGCCTCTCCTCACCC